TGATGAGTGCAGGATTGGACCCTGCTCTAAAAATTCAAATGATATATATGTATATATGTCACACTGGTTGGGAAAAAATGGGCCTTTGGTGTTGGTGCCTCCCCACTGTAATCCTTACTTAAGGTGCCCATACACCTTACGATTATCATACGCGATGGACTTTTCGTACGACAATCGTAACGTGTGAATAGAGTGCCCGACTGATAGTACTGTACAATCATACGACTTGACGGTCAAGCATGTTTGAAAACTTTGGTCGATCGTACGATGTTCGCATGGTTGGTGGTGTTTGCGTCCGTCAAAAGTTGTACGATTAACACTGCGCATGCGCAAACTAAAATAATTGCGGTCAATTCCCTTAAGTCGTCCAGGTGTTTTTTTTTAACTACTGCTGATTGAACCTTGCAATAATCGGGGCAGGATGGGGCCGTCGTACGAAAATCGTACTGCGGTTCGATCATCGGACGAAAAGTTTCATCCGATAATCATGCAGTGTATGGGCACCTTTACTCTTGATGAGCACTGGAATGGGCCCTGCTGTAAAAATTTAAATGATATGCACCTGTCACGCAGGTGGCAAAATAAATTGGGCCAAGAGTGTTGGTGTTGTCTGCAACAACACTGTAACCCCTCACAGTTACTCTTGGTGAGTGCAGGGATGGGCCCTGCTGTAAAAAATTGAAAATAATTGTATACAATTTAAATTATATGCACTTGTCGCATGCGGGTGCAGAAAAATTGGGCCTTGGGTATTGGTGGTGCACTAAACCAAAAACATTACTTAAAGATAGAATAATCACACACATAGTTAGGCCAGCCTAGGCAGTCTTCCAGAGATCCCCGACAAATTTAATCGGTGACATCTGCATCAGGGGATTGATAGCTTCTGCTGATCCACAACTGATTCATAAATGTTAGCTGGTCAACCGAGTCTGTGGACAGACGCACTCTTATCTGTCACAAAAAACCTCCAGGGGCACTGAATGTCTATTCGGAAAGCACGCTGGATGCAGGGCAGCTCCGTAGCTCGATGGTATATTGGGTAAGTTCTGGCCAGTGATCCATTCTCAAGACCCAGTAAGCCAGTGGATCGTCTGTTGGAAAGCTCTGTGTCTGTTCTTGCCCCTAGGTAATCCTGCACCATATGATACAGATGCTGCAGATGGGTGCCTAAAGCTAACAACCCTGGGTGCTGAGGACTGAAAAAATGTCTAAAGGCATCAGTCAGGCGGCCACCTTCTCCACCGCTTTTCCTTTGACCAACCGAAGCCTCAGAAACACCTCTTTCATGAAATCGTAACTTACCAGTGTCTGGAAAGGTGTTACACAAGCCCATGCACTGTAAGTTTGAGGAGGCATGAGAATCAGAGTCTTCAGGGTCACTGAGGATGATACTATCATGAACTACTACCTCCCAGCCATGTACTACTCCTTGGGTTTCTCAGGACTGAAACCCATCCCTTGAGGACTGCTGTATGTCACCCTCTGCTTCAATGCCCCCACGGCTGCCATAATCCGCCTCCTCTTGTGTGTTCTGTGGCCCTGCAGCAATAGTTTCTACATAAAGGGGGTCATGAGAGTTCTGCCTCAAGTGTCCTATCCATAATTCCCCGCAGAGTATGCTCCAGCAGGAACACAAGAGGGAAAGTGTCACTGATGCATGCATTGTCACGGCTCACCATCCTCGTCATTTCAAGCCTGATGAAGGGGACCCTCAATGGCCCGAAATGTTGCTATTTGTTTTGGCACGAAGCGCCAAACAGATGTGTTCTTCACTTCAATATGGAGTGCTGGTGATGTCTTTAACAAGGCTCACCATCCTTTTCGCCTCCTCAAATGGTGACAGTACAGTGCATGCATCCTTTATCAGCAGCCAGTGGCGTGGGGGGGGGAAAAAAACCAAGGTCCCCTGAGCATGTCCTTGTGCCATACTCACACAGGTACTATGGAAATATAACGTCCCTGACCATGCTTGCTGGACCACGTGTCAGCGGTAATGTGAACTTTGCTGCTGACAGCCTTGTCCAACGAGGTAAAAACATTGCCTTCCACATGCTGGTACAGTGCTGGAATGGCCTTACGTGAAAAGAAATGGTGTTTGGGAACCTGCCACTGTGTACAGCACATTCTGCAAATTCACGGAAAGGGGCAGGGTTCAACAGATGGAAAGGCAGCAGTTGCAAAGCTAGCAATTTGGCCAAGCTGGAATTTAGACGCTGAGCATGTGGATGGCTGGGACAGTATTTTTTTTCCCGCTGCAGCAGCTGGGGCAGCACATTTGACTGCTAAAATCTACAGCTGGTGAGCTGCTGGCAAATTTGGCACCAGGACCTGTGACACCCATTGCCATACCATCATGCCTCTCAGTGGAGGTTGTTGACATGGCATGACATATAGTGGGACAGGTGCATATAATTTGAATGTTTTACTGCAGGGCCCAACCCTGCGCTTACCAAGTGTAACTGTGAGGGCTTAAAATGCGCAGACAACACCAACACTCTTGGCCCAACTTTTTTTCGCACCTGTGTGACAGGTTCATAAAATTTACATTTTTTACAGCAGGGCCCATTCCTGTGCCCATCAAGAGTAAAGGTGCCCATACACTGCACGATTCTTGTACGAGAATCACAGGAAATCCCGCAATCGTACGAGAATCGAGCAGTGTGAATGAAGACGTGCGACCGTTTCTACTGTACGGTCGCACGTCTTTTGTCTAAGGAGCACGCTAGAAAACCAGCCGAAAATCGTACGATTTTTGGCTGGTTTGAATGATGCTCGGGAGACAAATGCCGAACGGGCCAGTGTGCGCACCATTGTACCCGAATCCTCATACCCTTTTTTTATGGCCAATAACTTGCATATAAGCCTTCAAAAAGTTTTGTTCATGTTCTATAGTTTGATTTTGAACCGAACTCGGGTCTGTTCGGCCCATCACTATAGCTGACATCATGTCAGTAATTCAGGGCTGTAGCTACCATGGGGCGAGTTTGACACACACAGGTGCAATTACCAAATTAGTGATTGCAAGACATTAGCCCCCTAGGGGGACACATTCACTTTAGATCGATGGATATTATATGGATATCAATGGACACTTAATAGCAACATTATTAAGACTTTATTATTTACACAACAATTAATACTATGGTACAGGATGGTAATTATAGATAGACGTTCTGACTGTAACACACACACACACACACACACACACACACACACACACACACACTCACGATTGATTTTTCTATTTGTGTAGCAGGGTTGAGGTGAGGTGTATATATATTTATTATTAGCCAGAAGGATGGATTAAGACATGGGTGGGAGATATACTTACTACTAAATATAAGGATAAATAGAGATACCTAATTGGCTAAAGGGATTGACCTATTTATTTACTCGCATAATGGCATTTTGACAGATGCCGGCAAAACAGAAACAATTGGACGGAGCTAGCGGTGACAGCTAGCTCTGCCCAATTGTGTAGTTTGCCGGCATCTGATAGGCGAGACATGATTAGGCAGAGTCATTATGACTTTGCCCAATCATGGCTCCAAATAAGTACTGAGCCCTGATTGTGCAAAGTCTTGCACCTGACCTGTGGTCAGGTGCAAGTCTTTAACCAATTAGAGCTTCGAGGGCTCTTTGCAGTATGGGATGTTGCGCAGTCGAACAGACCGCGAACATCCCATAAAGTTCGGCGAACGCTCAAACAGCCGATGTTCGATTCAAACTCATGTTCGAATGGAACCGGCAGACCATTCCTACTTGCTATAAGGTAAAAGTGATAACTAAATGGCTTGGAGAACAAAAACATAAAAATTTAGGGTCCATGGCCAGGAAACTCCCCAGACCTTAATCCCATTAAGAACTTGTGGTCAATCCTCAAAAGGCGGGTGAACAAAAAACCCCCCACAAATTCTGACAAACTCCAAGCATTGATTATGCAAGAATGGGCTGACATCAGTCAGGATGGCGCCCAGAAGTTGATTGACAACATGCAGGGCGAATTGCAGAGGTCTTAAATAAGAAGTGTCAACACTGCAAATATTCTCTCTGCAGAAACTTAACCTCCCTGGCAGTACTCTCTGCAGAAACTTAACCTCCCTGGCAGTATTCCCGAGTGTGGCTCGGTGTTAATTTTCAGTACCAAAAGCGGTAACCCCGAGCCACACTCAGGATTACACAGCGCATAACTTACCCTGTAACGAGCCCCGCTGTGTCCTTCGGCCGATGCTGGCATCCGTCTTCCGGGTTCCGTCCCTTGTGAGCGCCCGCATCACAGGGGGCGGAACCGACGGGAGATTTAAAAGTACATTTTTTAAAAAAAAATGATATAATCAGTCTGCCAGGGAGGTTAATGTAATTGTCAATAGAAGCCTTTGACTCTTATGAAATGCTTGTAATCATACTTCAGTATACCAGAGTAACATCTGACAAGAAGATCTTAAAATACTGAAGCAGCCGACTTTGTGAAAATTAATATTTGTGTCATTCTCAAAACGTTTGGCCAGGACTGTACATGGGGCTGCAGAGCAGTTCTTTACTCACTGGTGATGACTATGGCTCTAAAAGACTGATCTCTGGGCTTGGCTTTCTGTGCTCTGGCTCAGCTGCATACTCTGTGAAAGGTGTGCTGAAGTATACTCTGATAAATGATGGCTCTCACATTGCTGCTGATAGTATGTCTATAAACCTACAGAGAGCGTTGCTAGGATTGAGAAAAGCTCGCAAGACAAAAGTCTTGCGAGAGTTGTACAGTGTATGGCCACCTTTAGTTGAGGTACTTGAATGCGTTTTTAAAATTTAACTCCTGATTTTAGCGTCACTATAATGCTTGTGAGATTTTAGTCATGGTGTGCCCATATATACTTTCATAGTAACATCATCACTGGCAATTTACTTGCGGACTACATATCCCAGAGTGCTTCGGGAGGCGCCTGCGCAATGCAGCATCTGCTTAGGGTTGTGTACTGCTGGTGCGCATGCGCTGTGCTGACAGCGGAGTGTGGTTGGAGGAGGTGTGCTGTGATGTTGTAGACGGTGTCAGGTTTGGGAGGCGGGTGACAAGTTCGGCTGCCTGTGCATACTGCACACATCGATATGTGCTGGAGGCGGACGGGGATAGCAGGTAATGAAGGAGACTCTATGAAGACAGGCGGCTGGGGGTACATTGACTGCTGTGTATGTGGATAGCACACAGTGGGGGCTGCTCGGGAGGGATCTGTACGGGCGATCATAGACCAGGACCAGTATTAGATGTCACACGTACAGGTGATGTGCTCCGATCTTTGCCATTCAGGGTCAGCCTGACATCTAGGAGGTTTCCTATCAGATGGAGCGATGTAGAATGTCGGTGATACGGAGGGGTCGTATCACCCGATGATTAGGGGATGATAAAGTTGGATTGGAGGGGGAGGGGGTGTAGATGACATCTGATAGGAGTATTCGATATAGAAGGTATTCAGATTGGATGTCTGATATTCCCCCCCCGCTGTGAGCTGATTTAGGGCTTGTATTTCCGATGTGATTTTCTTGTAGGGACCAGTAGATCTCCCTGGAGTCAGATGGGTTAATGGGGATCTCTATGATGATGTGTGATGATGATGAGGACACAGCCGGCTCCTGACGTGTGTCCGTGACTCATAATCACTGTGTCCCTGGTCCTTTCACAGCTGACTGATGTGTGGGCTGGATGGCCATCTGCCTCATTCATCTTGTCTGTTCACCTGCACTCTGCTTATCCCCGCTTTATTTTCCTGGGCTTCCTTCACTGGTGTAAAGACATAGCCCACCTTTTACACAATATAATAAATGCACGCACATTAAGGGAAGAAGAAATGTAGGAATGCATGTATGTCATTTTTCATTGGAGCCTGCAAAGCATTGCAACCTGATCAGTGGACGGTGGATGCAATGCTCTGCCTCCTGCAGACTCTTCCTCCCTGCTCCTGTCCATTCCAGGCTATGGACCTCCAGTTCCAGGGATGGGCAGATGTGTCTAAGGAGGACGAGCACTTGTACCCCATGCTATGGTGGCAGACGGAACTTGTAATTTCTCCATTCACAGATCAGGTCAAAGGACCTGTTAGTGGATGATCCGGGTGTGTGGGCAGAGTCACGCACAACTGCGCCAATTTTTAAAGATACCTTGATGCTGCGGGGAGGACAACCCTGGGATTCAGGTGTGGGGGGACTGGGAATGTGGTCACAAAGACAGAGTCACTCTTTCATTGAATTGCAGGATTTGTTAATCTGCCATCTAAACCTTATGAACTGCTGCTGAATCCAGTGTTAGAATTCCAATCCTAAAGGAGGTTCAGTCTGATGAACAGGGTACCCCCAGAAACGTGTGATTCATTCTAACCATTACCTGGCATGTGCAGCACTGCTAATATGTCTATATAGGTGCTTGTTGAGTTTGCTCTGACTTTTGGGAAACGTTTGGGATGTGGAGATGCATTATGTTGTGTTCCTATGATTCTTCTGGCTGTCAGTACAAGTTTAACATTTTCTGTTATCGGTTTCATAAACATACTTCGGAGAAGACGAGGCTAGAGCTGCAACAACTAATCAACTAAATCGAATAATCCATTATGAGAATAGTTGGCAACTATTCTCATCACCGATTAGTTGGGGGGAGGAGAGAGAGAGAGAGAGAGAGAGAGAGATTTTTATACAACCAATTCGTTAGTTGAAAAAATAAGCGGGTAACTAATCGATTATGAAAATAATCGTTAGATGCAGCCCTAGACATGGCGCTGTCCCTGTCTAGGGCTGCAGCTAACGAAATTTTTCTGTCCATGCTCTGTAGTGTGGATGGGGCAACTGAGTGTTTTTCCTGATAAGCCCCGCAGTGTATGGCCAGCTTTATGGCAGTCCAGGAAATCAAATGCTAGTGTCCTGAAGCCAGGGATTATGTATATGTTGCTGAAGTCATTCATATTACCTCCACAAGGAACCTAAATCACTTTTTATTTTAGTAGTGGAAACGTTTTGAAATCGTTGAGTTACTTGTCTGTGGTCTAACCTGATTAGTTGGTGGCTGTTGTATCTTCAGGAAAGGAAGGGTTGGAGCATTGGCGGATGGTACATTTACCAAGGGAGGCTTATCTGAGTGCTGTGTGACAGGTGTTGTGTGAGCATTCCATGTTCTGATGTCCTCTCAGAGATCCTCAGAGGCCTCATACACACGGGGAGAAAGAGAACATCGCTTTCTGTCCCCCCCGCCCCCCCGTTTTTATACTTCTGAACGCAGTTCTATTTCAGCCAATATGTCCATGCATGCTGTGGCTTTAACATCCGTATTTTTATGGCTAGGGTAGGCAACCGTGACATTCCAGCTTTTGTGGAACTACACATCCCATAAGGCATTGCAAGACTGGCTGCCACAGGGATGGGATTTGTAGTTTCACCACAGCTAGAGAGCCAAGGTTGCCTACCGCTGGTTTAGAGTGGCTAGAGTAAGGCCCCGTTCACACCTTTCCGTTTTGTCGGGCGTTCAACGCTCTTTCAACGCTCTATGAACGCTCTACAAAACGTACAACCATGAAAATCCCATTGTTTTCTATGGGTATGGTTCACACCTTTCCGTATTTCCGCCCGTCTGAACGCCCTACAAAACGGCTGACGCCCAAACAAGTACATGTACTTCTTTGGGACGTTTTGGAGGGCGTTTTCCATTGGGATACAGCCAAGTAGCCTTCAGAATCGCGCGACGGTCGTGCGTTTTTTTTACCGCGAATCGCGGTAAAAAAAAACGCGTGACGGTCGCGCGACAGACGTGCATGCGTAATACGCCTAGGTGTGAACCCAGCCTATATGAATCTTCTAGCCAATAGACTGAGTATACACAGCAAAACACACTTTTCCTGGCAGTCAGCACAGATGGGAGTATTTAATACTTGTACATACAATGCTCTAAAGGTGCCCATACACTGTTCAAATTTCACCAAGTTTTTTGAGGAACCGGCCAAAATTTGCACAGTGTGTGCCAATGTCGGCACCCTGTGGATCGGCATCCCTTGATCAGCTGATCGAAAGAGCCGGTCGTAAAATCTTTGATCATTCAGAGCTGCCAGCCAATGAGCTGCCGCCTCTGGTCGGGTATTCTGACGGGCTGGCATCCACTGTATGTAATGGTGTCAGTGCATTGAGGAAGTACATTGCAATCTTCTAGACTGATCTGGTTATTAGGAGTGGGATAGAACTTATGCACATTCAATAGAGCAACACAGATTTCTTTTTGTTTGTACCATAGATACCATTTACGTTGATAATTTTTTGTCTTTTGCTCTTCTAACCAATAAACATGACTAGACATTGGCTGCAGATACACATTACTGTCTTTTTTTTTCTTTTTCTAGTCAGACCTCCTATATTGTAATGACAGCACAATGTTAGCCCACATGGCCTTCCAAACATTGAGCAGCTCAGTTATGATGATGTCTCAGTGAGAACTGCACAACCATCAATCATTGGAGGTCCTATAGAAAGCCCCGTCCCGATAATTACAAAAAATAAAAACCTCAACTTTGCAGTTGATCCTCTGGGTCTTGTTCCGCACAACTGGAACAACATTCTGTGTTCAGAAAGTACTCATTTATTAGTTAGCACTGTGCACAGAAACTAGTACACTGTTTTTTTCACTACTCCCTCTAAGCACCACACCTCCTCCTGAATGTCCCGCCCACATCCCCATCCACCTCTTTACTTTTCCATCCTCTACTACAGCCCGGCGCTCAGCTGGATGTGACGTGGTGCAAAGCATTGTGAGAGATAACCCGGGCTGAGATGACCTGAAAGCACAAAAACAGCAGAAGCTGCTACTCAGAAGAGGCAGAGATATGCAGGGGGGGAAATTATCATAGCAGTTGCCAGTATTTGAACTTGCACAAGATATATTTGACGCATTTTGCACCAGATTTAGGATGCTACTGTAATGTTGTTCATAAATGAGGGTAAATAGACTCCAGGAAAGAAGACTTGTAACTCCCAGGCAAAAAGTGTAACTGTCGCTTCTTGAAGAAGTGGTCATGGGGACTTCTTAGGAGAGGCTCACACCTAGGCGATTGCGCTGGTCAGCTGTTTTCGCGGTTGTCGTGCGGTTTTCAACGCATAGAAATGTCTGAGAGCCAAACATGCAACAACTGTCCGAAAATAGCTCCTGCACCTTTTTTGCGCGACACGTGATTTCTAATGTGCGACAAATCGAAGGGGTGTGAACTGTTTCCATAGACTTGAATGGAAATCTTTGTGCGATATTGCGCGGCTTAATCTGCACGATAAATCACTTAGGTGTGAACCTTGCCTTCAGTTGTGATTGTTTTGTTAGGTGATGCTCCAGTTTCAGACAGCCGCAGGACAAGTGCAGATGTAAACAGTTGAGAACTTTCGCCAAACAGGCGCAATTGGGAAAATAGTGCAAGTTCTGGTGAAAAGAGGCGCACGTGTTAAAGAACAGATTTGCACATCAAAAAAAAAGATCGAAGAGGCTAAAACTGTCCCAAATGCTTTTGAGAAATTCCCCCCGCAGTGTATTTTGGGGCATAATACCATGGGGGGGGGGGGGTGGTTTGGGGTGCTGGTGACATCCTTCTACAAACATTGTCTGGCGGCGCAATCCCCTGTCACTACGAGTACCCCCGCTTGCTATTGGGGTTTTCCGGTAAGGAGTGCGACAAGATAAATATTTATTAAAGCCAAATGAGACACACAAAAAAAGCAACAGAATGCATTAAAAACAAACATGAAGACATAATCCAGGTCTGGTCTGGAGATGTGTACAAGCCCTAAACACAGGAGGAGCATCGTTTATGCTTCCCAGATTCCTTTTTTCTGCGTTTAGATGTTTTTAGGTTGAGCCGCATTTACACGATTAGATGCGTTTAGCCACATTAAACCAGGCTAACCAGTCCCCAGTTCTTGTTCTTCAGCATTCAGCCCTAGCAATGCATTACATGCTTCCATGCGCATTTAGAAATGACCACCAGACGCACCTGGAAGCATGTACTTTAATTCACATGTGCATGGGGCCTAAACACAGGAAGACATGATCGAGGAAGCAAATAGCTGTTTATATTTCCAGATAACTTGTGTTTCAAGTGGAACTATGAGCAGAATAAAACTTAA